GAGTGGGGGAGTGGGATAAAACCATAAAACATTAAAAAAAAAAGGATAGTCCACCAAATCAGTAATTTATCAGAGGAAAAATGCATTCTTTATTTGCTTTAAGTTATCCTAAAATAGAGGAGAGAAACTGAACGTCAGACAGGGGCTAATTTTCACCCCCAACATTGCGACATTGCATCTCACGTCATCCCCATCCTCAAATTACTTTTTAAATTTACTTTTTGGGATTGGGTGGAGCATGATTTTGGCTATAGGAAAACCCAAGGAAAGTACAGCATTTGGTCAAAGGCATTGAGAGAGAGAGAGAGAGGGAGGGATGTATACGACTGGGCTGCATTTCAAAAGTCACTTATAGTCCCATCTCAGTGATGCTGAACCTCTTGATTTTGTCCCTCTCAGGGCCCGGAAGAGCAAACGAGGAGGAACGGGAGTGGCGGATTGTGCTTGTGGGGAAGACGGGAGGAGGGAGAAGTGCCTCCGGGAACACCATTCTGGGGGAAAAGAGGCTGAAGTCTGAACTTTCGCCAAAGCCAGTGACCCAGACATGCATCAAGGAAGAACGGGCAGAGAACTGGAAGGGGAAGAGGATTGCCATCATCGACACTCCCAACATCTTTGATGCCGGTCTCCAAGAACCACAGAAATACTGGGAGATCCAGAAGTGCCGAGATCTGACCAAGCCTGGGCCTCACGCTCTGGTGTTTGTGACCCAGGTTGGCCGTTTCACTGAGGAAGACATCGTGGCTTTGAAGAAGGTGGAGGAGCTCTTTGGCCAGGAGGCCACAAAGTACATGATTGTCCTGTTCACCCGCAAGGAAGACTTGGACACAGAGGATGGCCTAGAAGATTATGTAGAGACATCGGGCAACCCAGCCTTGCAGGATTTGGTCAAGCGATGCCAGGGTCGATGCTGTGCCTTCAACAACAAATTGACAGGGGAGGAAAGGGCCCACCAAGCCACAGAGCTGCTCTCTCTGATTGAGAAGATGGTGCGGCAGAATCAGGACAGGCCGTATCTCATGGAGCTTCCCGAGGAGATGGAAGTGCAGACAGTAGATGGGGCATCTTTAGAGGAAAATAAAGCAGGGGCGTCTGCAAGGAAACGTGACAAAAAGGAGCCTCCCGAACCAGGTAAACCCAATGAAATTAAATAAGGGATGCTCAGTTCTCCAGGAGGTAAAAGTCCTGGAAGATCTTTGGGTAGAACGATATTTACATCCCACACTGCAGCGTAATGTCAGGGCAATGTATGATAGACTCCATTTGGACACCAAACAAACCTTTTTAAAAGATGGTTTCAACAGACTAAGTTTTAGAATTTGAAATCTGATGGTTCAAAACCATTTAAAATGGCTTTTAACAATGTGAAACCATGCCTATGAGTGCAATGAATTACACCTCAAAGATTGTCATGAAAAGACACACAAACATGTGTTGCCTCAAATTGGCTATTAAATGGGAGCTATTCTACACATCTTAATATGACAGAATTGCATTTCTCTGCTGAGACTGATCAGTCCATAGAACGTGTTATTGGAAACACCTGACACTTTTGTGCTGGGCTTCGGATATACAGGCTGGGCCTGGGAAAGCCTGGGTGCTGAGCCCAGTCTGCCCAAGGGGTTCAGCCCCCTCCATTCCCCCTTGCCTGCCTGCAAATGAGCCAAAAACAGGTAGCAAGGAGGAGGAGGAGGAGGAGGAGGAGGAGGAGGAGGAGGAGGAGGAGGAGGACTGATATACATTGGAAGTGAGGGGTCGGGGAGGGGCTTTGGCCCCTTAAGGAAGGAGACACCTCCCCTTCATACCCAGCCCCCAGATACCTTTATTCCTACCAAATCTCCCCTTGGCTTGCCATCTTGCTTCATGGGTTCTTGCTAGCACCATTAGGTCAGAAGCATCAAAATGAGTTCCCCTTGCATGACAGCTTCTTCTCTTGTTCCCTTCCCTTGTTTCAGACCCTGAACTGAGGATTGTTCTCGTGGGGAAAACCGGATCCGGGAAGAGTGCCACAGGAAACACCATCCTGGGACAGAAGAAGTTTTATTCTACCTTGTCACCCACATCAGTGACAAAAACATGTGAAAAGAAGGAGACTGTAATTGATGGCAGGAAAATGGTGGTTGTTGACACTCCTGGATTTTTTGACTCCAATGTCACACCGGAAGAAACTTCCAAGGAAGTTGAAAAGTGTGTAAAATGGTGCTACCCAGGTCCACACGCCATCATACAAGTCATGCAATTGGCCCGTTTCACTCAGGAGGAGAAAGATGTTGCTCAAATAATCCAAGATATTTTCAGCCTTGAGGCAAAGGATTACATGATCCTTCTGTTCACCCATAAAGATACTCTAGAAGAAAAGCCTTTGGAAACATTTTTAAATGAAGGAGATGCTTCTCTTTGGGAGCAGATTGAGCGATGCGGGGGCCGGTACCTTGCTTTCAACAACAGGGCTGAAGGTCAGGAGAAGGAAGAGCAGGTGAAGGAGCTGCTGGGCATGATCGATGCCATGGTGAGAAAGAACAGCCAGGCCCCCTGTTACACTCAAGAGATGCTCGCCAGGGCCCAAAGAGAGATAGGAAAACACCAGTGTCTGCAAAGGGAGAAGAGAAAATGGTGGAAATTAGGCCTGGGTAACAACAGAAAAATTTGTTTCTAAAATCGATTTGTATTTGGGGTTTTTTTTGTTTCGATATTTAAAATAATTACAAAATTTTCCTTTTAAAAAGTTCGATATTTACGAAATTTCGTAAATGGTAAAAAATCAACAAATCGATTTCCGAAACAATAACGAATCGATTCGTTAATGGCGGACGCGACCGCGAAATACGCTAAAAAACCTCCAAAACCTTCTGAAGCTTCCCTCTCCCTCTGTTGTTGACTGTTGGTGTGATATTATAATTTTTTTTCACTAATTAAACCATAAAACTGGCCCAGACATGCAGAAATAATAACGAAACAACCTCAAAACAATAACGAAACGAATACAATATCGAAATACGAAGCATTTACAAAACGTTTTTGAAAATTCGTTTTTTTTAATAATTGCTCCAGAATGGTTCGTTATCGTTTTGTAATTGAAAAAATTAACGAATTATTAACGAATTACGAATTAACGAAACGAAACCGCCCAGCCCTAGTGGAAATAGCACCAACAATTGTTACAAGCATACAAAAACCTATGAAATAACCCTTCAATTTTCCTATTCCTTCAACATACTCTAACAGATGCAACCATGTTGCCTTTTACACAAAATCCGAACCACGCTTTGGTGATACTTTTATGAGGTCCAACCCCTCAAAAAAACCAGGAACACTATGAACCAAAGGTACATCCGTGTAAGAACGTGCAAAAGGGGCATACTCACCGATGAACCAGTGCCTCGCATTTCATTTTTAACCTTCGAACAACATTCACCAGAGATGTTCTCACAGGTGAAGCCATTTTACCTCCCTATAGAAGTCCAGATGGTCCTATGGTTCTCTAAATAACATTTTGAGTTAATCAGGTGGGGAAAAAGGAGAGGATGTAACATTTATTTACCAGCCGGTAGCTAACAGCTAGTAGCACAACCAGCAGCAGCCACAGCGCCTGGAATATCCCAAAGCGCTATCCGTCGACATGTATTATCTATTTCCATTTATATTCAATTCCATTTCTGCAATGATACCACTCA